AATTTTAATTAAAATTCTCAAATGTAGAAAAAAAGAAAAATAAAGAAAAAAAAACAATTAGATTTCTAATTTCCCTCTTTTGATACATGTGCTGTTTTATAAACATTAAAAGTGCACTGTAATCATATTTGCCTTGCTTATTTTTATCAGCATCTCCCTGAATTATGCTCTCAGACAAGGAGGCAACCAATCTAGAAAGTAACTTCCATTTAACTCCATAATAGCCCAAATAAGAAGTTAAGTGCTGTTTATTTTGTATCCACAGATATTTTTGTAGTGTTCAAAAGAAAACCAACAGATGACCCACTGCAGGAAATAATGCTGCATGTGTGTATTTATTTGTTTGCTTAATGCATTTAGATATTTTTTTGTCCAAGCCTCACAGCAAATGTGTAGAAAACACAATTCTTACTGGCCCTCTAATGACCTGGTTGTAAAAATTTCCAGCCCTGAGATTCTGCTCTCCAGATACACAAATCTTAAGTAGCTGCAGGATATTCCAGTAGATATTTGAGCAAGCTGGCATAAGATTCCATTTCTTCAATAATGTTCGTTTTGCATTGCTTGATTTCCTCCCTGCCCTCCCCACTGGTCTCTTAGCAAAGTGCACAGCAAGAATTTAGCCTGGTAAAAAGACAGCAGGCCCCTATTTTAAGTTTGTGCTCCAATTTTCTTCTTTTCTCTTTCTGGCCCATTTTATTATAATTGTTGTTGTTGTTCTCTTTTACCATTTGGCTATTTATCCACAATGGTAGGCAAATAAATAATCCACTAACCTTGTATATAAGAAAGAAGAAATTGAGCATTAATCTAGGTGGTTATTGTTTTTAATTGGTTTTAAAAGTGAAAGCAAGGGCTTGCAGTATATACTGTGTAGCAGCAATAGAGGGTACATCTCAGGCAAAAATAAATAATGCAGAAGAAAAAGGAATGTAAGATGAAGCTGGATTTAGGCCAAGTGCTGAGGAATTGAATTCAATTTGAGGTCATCTTTATCTTTACATTTAGAGGTGATTTTAAACTCCTGGTGATTTTATGGATACAACTTGTCTTTAACATGAAAATATTTTTTATGACTTTTCAGCTCAGAAGTCCTGGTATTTCCTTAGGACCTCTCATCCAAATGCTAATGAGACTCAAACCTCCTCATTCTTCAGAAATATTCTAGAAACCTGGCCTTTCCTGGCAAAAGGTCAGCATTGGAGAAAGGAGGAGCAACTTTTTGCCAATCAATAACTTGTAGATCAGATTGTGAGAGGCTGAGCTTCTAAAAAGCCAGCAATTCAAGGATTCACTAAAGTTGTCTTTCCATTGTTGAAAGCAATTCAAACTTGTCCGGCAGGAACCCTCTGCAGCAGTGTTTCTCAACTATGCCAACTTTAAGAAGGGCAGACTTCCAAAATTCTGGGAGTTGAAGTCCATCTCTCTCAAGGTTGAGAAACACTGCTGTAAAATAATTGCTTGTCAATCTGGTCTCCTCCCGTTTTGCAGGGACTTCAGTTCTTGGAATTCCTAGCCGGCAAGGTATTTTGGAACTAGTAGTTTCTGTACAACTGGTGAGTCCTTTGAAGTCACTCTAAAGCATGTGGCCAACTTATGAATGTGGTGTGTCTCCTCCCACAATTCAGAGGAGAAATTGTTTTGCATTAAATCATCTACCTGCAAAAGAACTAATCCAATTCCAGCTTTCCAAATGAAGACCTTTATCAAGAGGATCATGCCTTTATTTTAACT